CGCGCATGCCAAGCCCACTCAGCAGCAGCCCGCGTCGCCCGGCAAGCAGCAGCAGCAGGCGGCCAAGCCGCAGTCGGCCTCGCCCGGCAAGCAGCAGACGCAGACCCCGCAGCAGCAGCAGCAAGCTCGCCCGGCATCGCCGACCAATAAGGCGGCCGCCGCGCCCGCGACGCAGCAGAAGCAGCAGCAGCAGCCGGCGTCCCCCGGCAAGCAGCAGCAGCAGCAGAAGCCGGCGTCGCCGAGCAAGATGGACATGAGTCACTCGTCGACGACGCAGACGACCAAGCCGCCGGGCGATCAGAAGCCGATCATTGGCCAGACGCAGGCGCAGGCCGAGGCGCAGAAGAAGCAGGGCCAGCAGCAGCAGCAGGCGCGTCCCGCGTCGCCGACCAACAAGGGCGCCGCGCCCACGCAGCAGAAGCCGCATCAGCAGCAGCAGGCGTCGCCGGCCAAACCCGCTCAACAGCAGCAGCAGGCCAAGCCGCAGTCCGCGTCGCCCGGCAAGCAGCAGACGCAGCAACAGCAGCAGCAGCAGCAGCAGGCGCGCCCGGCGTCGCCGACGAACAAGGGCGCCGCGCCGACGCAGCAGCCGCAGCAGGCCCCGCAGAAGCAGCAGCAGGCGACGCAGCTCCAGAACAAGCCCGCGCAACCGCAGCAGCAGGCCGCGAAGCCGCAGTCCGCGTCGCCCGGCAAGCAGCAGACGCAGCATCAGCAGCAGCAGCAGCAGGCCGCCAAGCCGCAGTCGGCGTCGCCCTCGAAGCCCGCTCAACAGCAGGCGCAGGCCGCGAAGCCCCAGCAGCAGCAGCACCAGCAGGCCGCGAAGCCGCAGTCGGCCCAGCCCAAGCCTACGCAGCAGCAGCAGGCGTCGCCGTCCAAGCAGCAGCCGCAACAGCAGCAGGCCGCGAAGCCGCAATCTGCGCAGCCCAAGCCGTCGCAGCAGCAGCAGCAGTCGCCGTCCAAGCAGCAGACTCAGCAACAGCAGGCCAAGCCGCAGTCGGCGCAGGCGTCGCCGTCCAAGACGCAGACGCAGCAGCAGCAACAGCAGGTGCAGCACCAGCAAGAGAAGCCGTTTGAGGCGCCCAAGCAGGCGCCCAAGGACAACAAGGAGCACCACCAGCAGCAGAAGGCGCAGCAGAACCAGGGCAAGCAGCGGCCCATGTCGCCGGCCAAGTCGCACGGCATCCAGCAGCCCGCGCAGCACGGCAGCACGCAGCGCCAGTCGACGGGTTCGGGCCAGAAGCGCTCGGTCTAGGCGCTCAGTTTGTTGGTTGCTGTTGAGGTCCGGGTCCGGGATCGGCGCGGGCGCGATTGGCGGCGAGGACGCGTCGGTGTGGTCGCGAAGATGAGCTGAAGGATCGAGGGGCTGTATGCACGTGTGCGGACGCGTCTGGTCTCTCCGCCCGATCCATTTTGCGATGCGTTGATCCGTCTTTTTGCCGTCGTTCGCCGCCGTTCCGGGTCCGGTCCGAGTCTTTTTACCCCCCCCTCTTGTCTCCACTTTATATTTTGGGCGCTGCCCGCTTTCGTTTCGCTAGCGACTTGGGTTGGGTTGGTTTTCTCCATCGGCGCGAGTTTGACGCCGGCACTTGTTGGTGAGGGGCGGCACGTCTTTGGTCGTCGATGTCGTCTTCCTTCCTGGTCTGTTCGTTTTCATGGACGAGATTGCGCGCTGTAACCGTTTCGTTTCTGCTCTCTTTTTATCTTTCGTTCGTTCGTGGATGCCCAGGACGAAATATACGTGACAACGATTTCCTTTGTGCCCGCTTTGCCACCGTTTGCGATATTCCTGAGATTGTGAACTTCCGAAGTTTGTTCGCTCTCGAGGTGTCGCGCTCGACATGATGCTGCTGTCATGTCGCCTTCGCGTTGGTTGTCGGAGCAGAGCCAAGTCTCAGAGCCCAACGACGCGACAGATTCGACAAGAGCGAGTGGACATGGCCTGATATTTGAAAGAAATTGATGAATCGCGCGACGGAAGTGTGGTGCGGGTCGAGGGTGAGCCTTCTCGAGCTTTCCTGAGCTCTCCACAATCCAAAATCGCAAGCATCCGCACAACGCAATCAAAATTGACGGAATCTATACAAATGCGCCTGACCCCCTACGCTGACAGGTCGCCATTCACGGCGGCGGGGAGCGTCGGGGTCGTGCGGCCCCACACGGACCGGGCCCCACCACCTTGTGCGCCAGGCCACGCAACACGGCGCGTGAGCAATGCCGACCTGGCCATACGGCACTCGGACCGGCACGCCTCGACGGCATCCCTCACCCCGCGCGCCATATCGCAGCCAAACACGGACGTGGCCGCCGGCGGCGGGTGGTGGGCGCGCCAGAGACTCGTCCCCGCGGAGGGCCGTGCCTGGGCAGCACTCGTCGCGTCGGCGTGCGCGCGCCAGTCGCGCGTCATTTGCCGCAACGAGGTCAGCGGGTCGGTCGTGGGTGCCGGCGGCAGGGTCGCAAACGCCGAGGTGGTGTAGGGCAAGTAGTCGTTTTCCGAGGACCCGGACGAGGAGGATTCCTCGAGGTCGTCGTGGCCAGGGATCGCGGCAAGGAGCGTGCTCGAGTCGTTGCGGGCGTCGCGCACGACGGGGACGGCGTTGCGCAGGTGGTCGCGTTGGACGGCGGCGAGGTGCGCGAGGGCCGCCCAGGCGCGCGCGTGCGCGGCTTGCAGGTTGTAGACGGCCGCGAGGTATCTGCGGATGGCGGGCAGGATCAGGCGCTAGCGGAGCGGATGCATGGGCGGGTGAGCGCGCTGAAGCCGGGCGCACGCGGTAGCGGCATGGGGATTACGGTACGTGGAAGACGAGGCCGGCACCGCCCGACGCGGCGAGAATCCAGAGCAGCGTGACGAGCCACGGTCGCTTGCGAATGGCGGCAGGCAGGTTGCAGAGCCATGTTGTTGTGGCCGCGCGCCGCGATACTGCTGCCGCGGGGCCGCGCGGTGCTGGTATTGGTACTGATGCGTTCATTGCAGCGAGTTGCAGCGTCGGTGGGGAGACCGACTTGGCGAGAGAGCGTCGCGAAGTTGTTGATGTTGCCAACGAGGCCCGGCTCGGCACCTCGCGAGAGACGCGACCCGGGCGAACTGCCAGAAACGTCAAGAACCACGCGTTGCTGGCATCAGCGTGGTTTCGGGTGCAGCCGGTTGGGCCCCCCGAAGTGTTCCGAGCGGTGTCGGTGCGGGGGTCTCGCGCTGTCTCGCGGCCAGCAGCTTCCGTTCGGTCCTCGAGCACGGCTTGGTTTGGGTTCTCGGCCCAAGCACACCCTCTAAAGGCGCCGCCCGCCCGCCCCGGCGCTGCTCTCTTCCGCTCTCTTGAGCTCCAAATCTCCTGCTGCAACCAACCATGGCCGACCACACGCAAACCAACCTGATCACGCTCTCGCGCCATGTGCTCGCCGAGCAGCGCGCGCACAAGGACGCGACCGGCGACCTGACGCTGCTGCTCGTCTCCATTCAGCTCGGCTGCAAGTTTGTCGCCACCTGCGTGCGCAAGGCCGGCATCGTCAACCTGTACCTATCGCGCACGCTCCCAACGTCTGCCCCGACCAGTTTCCGCCCACCGAATCTGACCCGCCGCGCGCCCGTGTAGCACTGGTCTCGCTGGCGACACAAACGTGCAGGGCGAGGACCAGAAGAAGCTCGACGTTCTGGCCAACGAGATTTTCATCAACTCGCTGCGGTCGTCGGGCAAGGTTGCAATCATGGTTTCGGAAGAGGACGAGGACGTGATCGTTGTCTCGGCCAAGGACCGCGACCCGGCGGGCCACGCCTATGCCGTCGTCTTTGATCCGCTCGACGGGTCGTCGAATATCGAGGCCGGCGTCTCGATTGGCACCATTTTCGGCATCTACAAGGTCGCGCCCGGATCGACTGGCACCGCCAAGGATGTGCTGCGTGCGGGCCGCGACATGGTGTGCGCCGGTTACTGCATGTACGTCTTACGCTCGCTTAATTCGATTGCTTGGTTTCGCTCCAGTCCACTCACGACCGGCCGCGCCTGCTCATCATTAGGTACGGCTCAAGCACGTCGCTCGTGCTCTCGACGGGCAACGGGTCCGTGAGCGGGTACACGCTCGACACGACCATTGGCGAGTTCATCCTGACGCACCCGAACATCCGCATTCCGCCGCGCGGGAAAATCTACTCGATCAACGAAGGCAACTCGGTCTACTGGGACGCGGCCTGCACCGAGTATTTCGGAGCGCTCAAGACGCGCCAGGTGGACGGCAAGCCCGCGCCCTACTCGGCGCGGTACGTCGGGTCGATGGTCGCCGACGTGCACCGCACGATTCTCTACGGCGGGATCTTCGCGTACCCGGCCGACAAGAAGTCGGCCCATGGCAAGCTGCGCGTGTTGTACGAGTGTTTCCCAATGGCCTTCTTGGTTGAGAATGCGGGCGGCCGCGCGACGACGGGGGTGCAGCGCATCCTAGATATGGTCCCGACGGCAATTCACCAGCGGTCGCCGATTTTCTTGGGGTCGCGCGACGATGTGGCCGATCTCGAGGCGTGCTATGCCAAGCACGCAAATGGGGTGGCCAAGAAGCAGTAGGTAGCGGCGCGTGTGCCGTAACAGTCGTGGAAGCGGCTCCATTTCTTTTTTGCTGATTGGGAGCAAAGAGTTTGCAGAGTTTTTTTTCTTGGGTGCAAAACAATACAACCAGCATAGAGGGCGCGTGGATGCGCCCTCACTTATCGTCTCCACTGAACACTAGTTGAGAATGTGTTGAGACTTGTAATAATTCGAGTTGCAACCAGAGTTTGAACGGTTCGAGGCGAGGCAAAAGACGACGCGGCATGGGCTCAACCCAAGTTGGTGGGCACGCTATTGCTAACCGAACTGTGCCAAGACATCGAAGAAAAGGAAAACGACTGACCAGAACAAAACAAAAACAATTCTTACATGGTGGAGAATCCGGGTACCCCCAATCTTTAAGGGATTTGGAGGGAGATCCCGGGGTGGAAGGTATGCCTTCGGGAGCCATGCCTTCCACATAGTTAGTGCGCAGGGTGGGGTTCGAACCCACGCCTCTTTCGAGAATGGTACTTGAGACCACCACCTTAGACCGCTCGGTCACCTGCGCTGATATTTGTCGTGGGGCATTCATTTGCGTTTATAAGGAGGTGTGTTTAAATGAATGGAGACGAATCACCTGACGGCGCCTGACCCAGATGCACTTCTCTCGCGTTCTTGCAGACCCAACGTCATCAACCTCGACAGTCGACAGTACGACCGCATCCATCAGCGCGAGCTCAAGCACCCGAACCAACTATCAGCAGCAACACGCAGCACCATGTCCGATACCGAGGCGCAGAACGATGCACCGGCCGCGGCAGCCGCGCCGGCCACTGGCAAGAACCACAACAAGTATCGCCGCGACAAGCGTACGGGCATCCATCGACAACCAGCGGTTGGGTCCGCTGCGCCGGGTGCCCTCGTCCTGTGCCTGAACGAGGCCGCTATGGCACTTGTTGTCGGCCGGGCAGGACCGCACGACCGCGCGATGGCACTCCGGCGATTGGCGATTGCGCATCGCCTTCACGGCGCACTCCACTTTCGTCACCATCGTCCATCGGCTCACCCGTCCTCGACATCTTTGCGTGTAGCATGGGACACGGACGACATTGACCACTGGAAGATCGACGCCTTTACGCGCGACGACAACCCGCACCCGTTCACCGAAGAATCCTCGTTCGCAACGCTCTTCCCGAAATACCGCGAAGCCTACCTGCGCGAAGTCTGGCCGCACGTGACGCGGGCCCTGGCCGCGCACGGCCTCGCGTGCGAGCTCGACCTGATTGAAGGTTCCATGACCGTGCGCACGACGCGCAAGGCGTTTGACCCGTACGCGATCCTGAACGCGCGCGACCTGATCAAGCTGCTCTCTCGTTCCGTGCCGTTCCAGCAGGCCGTCAAGGTCCTCGACGACAATGTCGCGTGCGACATTATCAAGATCGGCAATATCGTGCGCAACAAGGAGCGGTTTGTCAAGCGCCGGCAACGGCTCGTCGGGCCGAACGGGAACACGCTCAAGGCGATTGAGCTCTTGACCGAGTGCTACATTTTGGTCCAGGGGAACACGGTCTCGGTGATGGGGTCGCACAAGGGGCTCAAGACGGTGCGCCGCATCGTGCTCGACTGTTTGGCCAACATCCACCCAATCTACCATATCAAGGAACTCATGATCCGCCGCGAATTGGCCAAGGACCCGCAACTCGCCAAGGAGAACTGGGACCGGTTCCTGCCGAAATTCCGGAAACGCAACGTGCCGTCCAACAAGAAACCGCTCAAGAAGGTTGGCCCGAAGCCCGAGGCCAAGCCGCTGTTCCCGCCGGCACAGACGCCGCGGCAAGTCGACTTGCAGCTCGAGTCGGGCGAGTACTTCCTCAAGCCCAAGGAAAAGGCCGCACGGGCTGCCGCGCAGAAGGCCGCCGACGAGGCCGAGAAACGCAAAGAGCGGCTGGCCGAGCGGGCCGCGCCGTTTGTCGCGCCCGAGGAGGCCACGGGCGAGGAGGCGCGCAAGGCGCTCAAGCGCAAGCGCGACGACGAGGCACGCGCGGCCAAGGTCGACGAGGCCAACCGGCTCGACGAGCTCAAGCAAAAGTTTTTGGCCAACAAGACGGACCTCAAGGCGCAGGCCAACGCGCCGGCACCAGCAGCAGGAGCATCGTCGGCGACGGCATCAGCAGGAGCCGACAAGAAGAAGAAGGACCCGACCAGCAAACCCGCCAAGAAGAAGGCCAAGAAGAACTAGGTGTCGGTCGTTTTGGGTCGCTGGGGTTTCTATTTTCGTGTGCTTTGTCTTTTTTGTTTCTGGGAAACGGCGAGGTGCGGTCTTCTTGGGCCGGCTCGCTTCTGTGAATACATTTCATTCCACGGCACAGCTCGATTGCAAAGCGCTCAGAAAGCACGGACGGACAATGATGTATGGAAAAAATATGATGCGGGGCCATGCCAAACCGAGCCAATTCAAGTGCTGCCAACCAACGCAAACAACGCCGAACGCAACCGCCAACCGTGCTCACTTGCGCGCCTTGGCCCATGCCGCAAGCACCTTGCCCGTAGCACTGCGCAGCGCTTTGGCCGCGTTCTCCACCTCCTTGCGCGACAACGACGCCGGCACAAACACCTTGATCGACGGCCGCGGGCACTTGTGCTCCTGCTCGACGTTATACTGCGCGCGCACCACCAAAACACCCTGGACCGCCGCCTCCTGCACAATCTCCTGCAGGAACCGCGCCTCCTCCGCAGCCATTTCGGCCTCCGGATCGGCATTCTTGCGCCGCAGCACGGCTGCCGCCGCGGCCTGCTGCTGCTGCGCGGTCGTCGCAGAGCTCTTGAACAGCGACAGCATCGACGTCTTGGGCGAAATCTCGTCGGCCGCCGGTTCCACCTTGAGCGGCGCGAACGTGAACGGCAGCGTGTCGCGCGCGACGCGCAGGTGCTGCAGCGGCGAGAGCGCGTCCGACGGGAGTTCAAACGCGCCGGCGTGCGCGACGGCCGTGCGGAATGCGCGAATGTTGCTGCGCAGCGGATCGAGCAGGTCGCCGGGGCGCGTGCGCAGCTGCGCGAGCGCGTGCGACGCGGTGACCGCGAGCATGGGAGGGAGTGCCGCGGAAAAGACGTACGCGGATGCCGAGAGCCGCTGGTGCTCGATGGCAGCGTTCGCGCCCGCGCAGAACCCGCCGGCCGAGGCGAGCGCGTGGCCGAGGGAACCGACGAGCAGGTCGACCGAGGATGCGGGCACGCCAAAGTGTTCGGTCAACCCGCGGCCCGTGGCGCCGAGCGTGCCAAAGGAGAGCGTCTCGTCGAGGATCAGGCGGTACTTGTACCGGTTCTTGAGTTCGAGGAGCGTCGGCAGCGGCGCAATGTCGCCGTGGTTCGCGTAGAGCCCTTCGACAACGAGGAACTTGCGGTAGAGCGGGCGTTTGAGCCGCTTGTCCTCGGCCTCGATCGAGGCGAGCTTGTGCTCAAGGTCATGCATGTCGTTGTGCTTGAAGAAGACGAGCTTGGACCGCGAGATTTGCACGCCCTTTTGAATCGCAAAGTTGCACGCATCGTCGACGACAATCAGGTCGCCGCGCTTGCTAAAGGCCGGGATCACCGACCCGACGGCCGAGAAGCCCTGCGCGTAGAGAATCGCCTGGTCGACTTGCAGGAATTCGGCGAGCTCGCGCTCGATTTGCATGTGCACGTCGATCGTGCCGTAAAAACCGGGCGGGTTGCAGGCACCGACGCCGTACTTGCGCAGCGCCTGGATCGCCAGGTTCTTGTTGGTGTCATCGTTGGCGAACCCAAAGACGTCGGCGGTCGCGAGATTGGTCACGGTCACCGCCTTGGCCTGCGCGACCGTCGCCATGGCCACCGCCGCGGGCGTAGTCGTGGCCGTCACGGTGGCTAGCTCGGCGTGGGTCACAGGCACGCCGCCAAGCGCGCCGGCCACGGGCATGAGCTTGACTTTGGCCTTGGCGGCGGTCGGGCCCGCAAACACCGGGATCGTGGCCAACTGCGCGGCGTCGGTCGCGAGGACCAGCGGGTCGGCATCGCCCGGAACGAGCGGTTCCGGGACCCACTCGTCGACGAGTTCGTCAATCTCGCGCTGCGAGAGTTCAATGGATTTGCCGTCGGGCGACGAGGCCGGGCGCGCGCGCTTCGAGAGCAGGTACTGCACGGCAAAGAAGAAGAGGAAGAGCTCGAGCACGACGCGCGCCGGGTCGTTCTGGTACGAGTTGCGAATGTACTTGCCGAGCAGCTGCGACCCGGGGATGCTGGCGACGGCGTCGCCCGTGGTCGTGACGAGGTGGTTGAAGTGGACCAAGGCGGCCTCGATGGCCGCGGTCGTCGCGTCGGGCGTGCCCGTGGGCACCGTGTTGGCCGGCATGCTGCTCGTGGGCGTGTTCATTGAGATGGGTGTGTTGGCGTGCGTGGGTGGGTGGTGGTGGCAGGGTGGTGGCGGGCCAGCGAGCGTGGGAGTTGGAGAGAGCGAGCGGGACCGAATGCGCTTGGCGAGTTGACGCTTGGAATTCGGGTCGGGAGCACACAGAGCGGCACGTCGGGGAGGCGCGGATCGTCGGCAGGGCGGGTCGGGAGAGCGTGTCCGGCGGCGGTTGCGGGCGTTGGTGGAGCACGACTCTGTGCGGTGGCGGGGAGAAAGGATGCTCGCACTCTTGTGGGCCGGATGAGCCGGGACCGGATCGAGCACGCGGGCACAGTGCGCTCCCAAGCAGCGGCACCACAACGAGCGAGCCGAGCGGCGAAATGCGCTGCCGTCGTGCAGGCGAGATTGGATTTGATTTTGGCGGCGTCGCGGCAACGGCGGCCGGCCTCAACCGCGGCGCGACGGCACGGCGGCGACAGCCTTGGTGGTCGGCCGCGCACCGCACGTGACGCGCGCCAAGCGTCGCGAGACGTGCGAGACTCGGTCCACATCCAAGTCACCCGCACGTGCAGGCGCGTCATTCGCTCGCTCTGGCCGCTGCCGTTGCTTGCTCGTTGCCGGCGCGCTCGCGTCTTGCACACAGCCGTTGACAAGGCGCAGCCAATACATACCTGCTCGCGCGGCAGCACCAGCACCAACAACTGCCAGCAGCAACGCCATGACCAGCACGGAAACCGAGCGCGCCGAGACGCCCGACACGGGCGCCGACCGCGAGCAGGACCCTGCCGTCGAGACCCTTGTCCAACAAATCGAGCAGGCCTACACGCACCCGACCGCAACGGCGCGCTACCTCGCGCATTTCTTGGACACGGCCAAGGAACGCGACGACTCCACCACCTACGATGCCGACCCAGCCACTCCGGCGACTGTCAAGCAAGTCATTGCCGGTCTGCGCGCCCTGAACCTGACCCACGTCGGGCGCCTCTACCCGGTCGAGCACGACTATTACCACTGGACGCTCGCGCGCCGCATGTGCCGTCTCAACGCGCCCACGCGCGCGCATCTCTGCAAGTCCATTATCATGGAAAACACGAGGTGCCCGCACAACAGCATCGACGATCCAGCCTTTTCCAAGTACTACTGCGTGATCGTGCAGTACACGGCCAAGCTCAACACGCAAAAGCTCTTCAACTTTGCGCGCGACC